CCAACAGGAGCGTGGGAAGTTTAAGAAGATGAGGCTGGCACCTCCCTAAGGAATTCACGGTGTTTTGGCTGGCTGGCTTGGGGACTTAGGTTCAGTCTGGAGAGATTCTATCTTGAGGTGGAAGCTAATAAACGCAACAGAACTGTATTTGCATTGTCTCGTGGAGTTCTTTGGGCTGAACCTGACACCTTGGCTTCTACAGGCTCCCCTGTCCTTTGCGGGAGGGAGAGTTGAAGGATGCAGACTATCCTCCTTTTAAAAGAGTGGCTATTTTAAATACTACATGAGGTCTTTGGTCTTAGAATAAGGGGCTCTGCAATAAGACGGGGAATGGGTGTCTCCCCTTCCTCGCCCTTCTGGCCTCGGCTCCCCTACCTCTCTTTCTCTGCAGGCACCAGCAAATGTGAGAAAGAGGGAAGCCCCCAAAGCAGCAGAAGCCAAGGGAGACAAGAAGGAAAAGGGGAAGGAGGACGGGACCGGCCACCCCAACAAAGAGGCCGCGAAGCCCAGCGAGGCCCAGGATGCGAAGCCTCTTCCCTCAGCCAATGGGAAAGCTGCAGAGGATCCCAAGAAGAAAGGCGACGTGGCAAATAGAAAGTTAGAGGTTGGTGGCCTCCACAGAGGCTGATGGTTATTTCTTGAGCCCAGTGATCTCTGCCCATCTTTCCCCAGTGGAGGACCTTCCAGATGGGTTAGGATGGCAACTCCCAGAATTCTCAGCTGGGCTGGCCGAAGGGTGTTCTGGAAGCTTCAGCCCCAGCCCCTCGATAGAGCACCAGGTTACAGAAGGTTGAGGCTGTACTGAGCGGGTCAGGTTTTGGAGCAGAGGCCATCCTCAGAGGCGGAGAGACGCGGAGGCTCTCTAGGATTGGAAGTTGGTATATGGCACCACCTGACCTGAGGCCTTTGCAGCATCTATAGCCGAACCGTTGGGATGGTGCAGAAGTGGGGGAAGATGGTGCTGACCCGCTGCTTGGATCCCATTTCCTGCTGAGAAGCCAACCGATTGCTGTCTCTCTGTGCTGCTTCTGCCTAGGCCTGGGTGTGGTGGGTGTGGTGGAAGAAGGTGACCCCAGAGTCATCTTGGGTTGCAAGCAGCTCCTTGATTTACCCTGGAATATATTTTTGGTCTCTGGTCTAGCCTGTAACAATTGCTGAAACTTGGAATGACGGCCCGTACATCTTCATCCTCAGTGTCAAGAACCCATCGCCAAAGTGGACGCTCTCAAGTGAGTGAAGAGTCCATTTCTGATGGGCCAAGCAAAACGCATCTTCTGATTTGACTTGCCTTCACGTGCAAAGGGGACTTCTGCTGTGGTGGCTGAGGGCAAGGGTGCTTCTCCTCACCCAAATTCCTTCTGTCTTGTGGCCTTCTGCCCAGCGGGGTTCAATCCTTTGAGGAAACCTGGGCTTTGCTGCCTTGGATCACCCTTGTCCTGGAAAGACTGATAACTGCCAGCAGCCGTGCTGGGGGGGACACAGATGCTCCCTTTTGAGGGGGTGTTAGATGCACAGCAGCCTAGCAGCCAAGAAAGGTTGAGTTTAAGTGCCACTGTGGGCATTTCACCTCCTGTTTCTTCCTCAGAAGGGCTGTTCCTCTGAAAACTTCACACCTGTGTCTTTTTCCCATTCTGCCTTGTAGTTGACATTCAGATGAAGCACCCTGAGTACAAATACATCTCTGCCTCGGAGTGGTCTCTCAAGGTGGTAAGTTGAAGGCCCTGTTTTATGGCTCAGGAGATGGGGGAGCAGAGGGCATGACTGCCTATTTCTCCCGTGGGGCCTCAGTTTCCCTAACTCCTTTCTCCAAATTTTCCCTACTTTTTGGGACCCTCCTTGCCAGTGCAAGGAGTAGCCACAGTCTTGATTAGGGACTGAGGAAGAGTGCCCTGGCCAGTTGGTATAGAAGGAAGCCACTGATGGCTCTCTTTCAAGGCGGCCCACAACAGAAGAGGTATATCTTCAGTGCTTGGAATTGGGCAGCAGGTAACTTCTCATTTCTGGGGCTTTGACCGCCACAATAAATTGGTGAGCTGGGTTTGTATTACCTAAGAAAGAGGTAATACAAATATCCTTACAGAGTTTTGTCTCCATAATGCAGGTATTCCTACTACTACATTGTTTTTGGGTTTTTTTGGCCTGTGGTTATGCTATTGCAGTGTTTCTCAACCTCAACAACTTTACGATGTGTGGACTTCAACTCCCAGAATTCCCCAGCCAGCCATGAATTCTGGGAGTTGAAGTCCGCACATTGTAAAGTTGTTGAGGTTGAGAAACACTGCTAATTGTGAAGCTTGGAAAGCATCTTCTGCCTCCATCCCATCGTATTTTTTGCCTCTGTAGATTAAGCCCCCCTTTTTTCTCCATTCCATGATTCATGTTCTCTGCCTTCCTACGGTCCAAGCCCCGAGGTCCTGCAGCTGCTGTACATGGTGGGGGATGACTCAACTCTTGCCAGTCTCCTGTACGTTCTGCCAAAGCAGGAGCCCTCCATGTAGAGAACATTTGTTTTTTTTTTCTCCTTCAGAAAGAGGAGACTTGGAGGGCTCCAGGAATACAAGAAGGAATACGTCAATCTTAGTGCATTGCTGATTTTAGGTTTTAACTGGTTTAAGCGACTCAGCTTCACACTGGGAAATGTAGTTTTTTGGGGGGGGTAGATTTGTAATGGCAGATTTTCTCCATTCCTCATGGAGAAAATCTATGTAGGTGGTTGCTAGGAGTCAAAAACGACTCGGTGGCCCATAATCAATCAGATTTTTAATGGGAATTGGGTAGCATCGGCCCTCGGATTATTTTTAGTTCCAACAGTGACAATGCAGCCATGTGGAATAAAAACAGAGCTTTAGAAATCAAGAGGTTGAAGGCCAACGAGTTGTAAACTTCCCTTTGGAAACAGAGACATGGATGGATTGTAAGAAGCCCTGTCTCTCTAAAGCAGTGTTTTTCAACCTTGGCAGCTTTCAGATGGGTGGACTCCAACTCCCAGAATTCCCCATCG